TCTTCAAACGACCTCTAATAGCACAGATTTTAGAAGTCAACATTTACTACTGAAAATCTGGTGAGGATGATTCTCCATGTGAAACAGATGAAGGGCCAGGAGGAACTCCTTCCAGGAGGCAGACCTCACCAGCCTCGGTTATCACACAGCAAAAGGCAGTGGCCTGGAGAGTCCACACCTTCAGGATAGCATTGGGGTGCCAGAAACACAAGGATCAAAGGAAATACAGTAAGTGGCAAAGAAATACCCATCAAATGAGATGTAACTAGGATTGGCACCACTGGCCATTTCTAAAAGGGAGGAATGTCTCAAATGCCACCCCCAGTGGAGACAATTTGCCTACACAGGTGGCCTTTTCCTTAGATATAGGTGGTAAGTGATCTCTCCTAGCCAAGTTTAAATGAAAAGTCAACTCTAGTCATAGACTGCTTGGCATTTTGGAGGGGTTGGTGACTCTGGCAAGAGCCATTTCAGTGGAGTGGTGGGAATAAAAGCCCAATTGGACTGGGTTCAGGGAAAAATAAGAGGTAGGACAGTAAAGCAAACTCTCTATACTTGCCCTATTACTGATTTCCTGCTCGTAGGAAGGAAAGCAGAGTATTTTAGCTCACGTGTAGATAAGTTAGTAAATCTGTCGATGAAAAGAGAGGTACTTCTATCAAATTACATCTGATTTTTCAACGAAGTATGAAGCAAAGTCAATAGCTGAAAAGCAAAGGCTAAGGCTGTAGGAAGTCTGGGAAGAGAGAACAGGGTATGCAATAGCTATTTCAGAGTGGGAGAGTAAAGGCACTCTGGATGTGTAAATAAGAATGTCACATAAGAGCATCCACCCACGGAAGATGTCTATTAGAGGCGGCAATCTTGCTAAAAGCTAGGAAAATGAAGCCTTTTCCTTCATCTGTATCTACATGCTGAAGGTTTGTAACAGTTATGAATTTTAAAAAAAGTATATCCCAGTTTTTGAAATTTCATGAAACTCAGACAGAAACTAATAGACTATAATTCAGTTAACTATGATGTGTTCCAGAAAACCTGGGATTAAGATCACAGACATGCTTGAATTTCACAATAGACTGGTATTAGGATTTTGCACTGAAATGCACATAATCTAAGGATTATTAAAAATACATCCTTACCTTGGTGTTTCCCAAGAAATCTCTATATTCTCTTAATATTTTTTGATTTCTAAACAGCCCTATAAGAAATAAAAATAAATTTAGGTCATACAAATTCTTACCAGTAAGTTTATTAATACAATTACTCACAGTGAGACTATGGTGAATATGCTCCACTAGCTACCAGCAAAAATATCAAGTTCTTATAAGAAATCTGGATTTGCAATTGTATTAAAAAGTGGACAAAGGATTTCAACAGGTGAGACACAAACAACCAACGAGCATATGAAAAGATGCTTGACATCACTAACCACTGGAGAAACATAAATGAAAACCACAATGAGATACCACCTCATACTCATTAGGATGGCTACCGTGAACAAACAAAAAAGAAACAAAGAGAGAAAGAAAATAATCACTGGCCAGGACATGGAGAAACTGGAGCCTCTGTGCACCGATAATGGGAATATAAAAGGGGATGAATACTATGGGAAAAGGTGTGGTGAGCCTGCCAGGATGGCTCATGTCTGGAATCCTAGCACTCTGAGAGGCTGAGGTGGGAGGCTCGCTTGATTGCTTAGGAGATTGAGGCCAGCCTAAGCAAGAAGAGCAAGATCCTGTCTACCAAAAATAGAAAAACTTGGCTCGGCGCCTGTAGATCAGCAGCTAGGGAGCCAGCCACATACATCAGAGCTGGTGGGTTTGAATCCAGCTCAGGCTGCCAAACAATGACAATTACAACCAAAAAGTAGCTGGGCATTGTGGCGGGCGCCTGTAGTCCCAGCTACTTGGGACGCTGAGGCAAGAGAATCACTTAAGCCCAAGAGTTTGAGATTGCTGTGAGACCAGTGCACTCTACCGATATAAGTAAAACTCACAAAAAAAAAAGAAAGAAAGAAAAGAAAAGAAAAGAAAAAATTAGATGGAATGATGGCAGGTGCCTGTAGTCCCAGCTGCTTGGAAGGCTGAGGCAGGAGGATCCCTTGAGCTCAAAGGTTTGTGACTGTGATGAGCTATGAGGACACCACTACACTCTAGCCAAATTAAAAAAATAAAAAAAAAGAATACTTTCAATGTCCAGGCTTTGCAGTAAATAAATTTTCTGATACTTATATTAAAAAGCTCAATTGTTATTTTTCAATAAAAGGGGCTCCTTTTGGAAATAGTTAATTCCCAATCCAAGGCAGGAAACATATAAGATGAGCCTGAAACATAAATATTTAGCAAGACTCTGAATTCTTTCACTATATTTCTAAGTTCTGTCCAAGACCACGGCATAAAAATGACAGTATTTCCTTGCCCAGATTAGTTGGCAAAATTTCTAAGTGGAAACTGTCAGAAAATGATGGTTGATGACCCAGGAAGAAAAGCCAGAGGGAGTTTTTTGAGAGTTTGGGAGTTCAAGTCAAGAGCCAGGAAGTGGGATGGGAAAGAGAAAGGACTAGGGAGGAGGAGACAGGCAAGGGAAGAGCAGAGTAGCAGCAGGGCTCAGACTGCTGGGGCCAGAGGGAGCCAAGTTCACTGCTGAGTCCTTTTGTCGCAACTCCAGCATTCTACCTGGAAAGAGATATAAAGTTTTCAACTTTCCTTTCTAGAGATGGAATTGATAGCAGAAGGTCAATCATTTCTTTGTCAGAACTAAACTACACACAGACCTTCAACCAACTGAGAGAGGATTAAAGGCAGTCAGGCACTGCAGGCAATGGATGTTTTTTCCTAAAGTAGCTCTACTATCGCTATTACAGGAACTAACTAAAACAAAACCCTAATCTTTTAGATATAAGCTAATAAAACGATACAGTATCTGAGACTGGTTTCAAAGTAATCCAGTAGGGTGAGGTTTAGAGAGGGGCACATAATGAAACAAGGGTGGCCAGTATTGGTAACTGTAAAGCTAGGTGGTAACTACTTGAAGAGTTATTATACATTCCTCTATATATGTACTTGAAATTTCCCTACTAAAAGGAGGGGGAAATAAAATTTGAAAATATTGTTAGAAAATATTTAGAACACGTGAAATTAAATGTTAACATCCACTAAAACTCATTAAATCAATTTACAAAGATACAATCTAACAAAAGAGTGAACAAAAATTATAAAAATTTTTACACAAGAATGAAGAAAGACCAATAATCAGAAGGTAATCAATCTTAGTAGTAATCAGATATATTCAGAATTAAACAAGATACCTTCTGTTGCTAAAGCTAAAACATTGTTAGTGTCCAGCATTGACAAGGACATGAAGGAACAGCCGTACTCATATGCCGTGACTATCAATGTGAACTGATACCATATTTCCTTCAGAAAGTAACTGTTTGTGATCTATCAAATTTTTAAATGCTCGTGCCATGGACTCTGAAATTGTACTATAATACTCTATCCTACTTGAATATTCATAATTATCTCTCACATGTTAAGAAAACAAAATATCTGGGGATCTTTTTTTTTTTTTTTTTGAGACAGAGCCTCAAGCTGTCACCCTAGGTAGAGTGCCATGGCTTCACTGCTCACAGCAAACTCCTGGGCTCAAGCGAGTCTCCTGCCTCAGCCTCCCAAGTAGCTGGGACCACAGGTGCCCACCACAACGCCCGGCTATTTTTTGGTTGCAGCCATCATTGTTGTTTGGCGGGTCCGGGCTGGATTTGAACCCGCCACCTTAGGTGTATGTGGCTGGCGCCTTAGCCGCTTGAGCCACAGGCGCCAAGCCGGGATCTTTGTTAATGTAGTATTTGCAATAGTGAAAACCTGGAGAACATAAACCTTACAAGAATACTATGCAGCTGCTTAAAAAAGAATGAGGAAGAGGTAGATTTCCATATGTAGGTATGAAAAAACAGTTATGATTATACTGATATCTACAACAACACACTGTAAGATGTACAACAATATGCAAAGGATCATCCTATCCTGTTCATGATTAAGTTGGAAAAAATGTGTATATAAACATTTGAAAACACATAGGAAATATTCTGGAAGGACACGTGTGTATACATGAAACTATCAAGAGCAGGTATCCCCAGGAGCAAAAATGAAATGGTATTACCGAAATGCAAGAAGACTTTTTTATTCTTTGTATTTCTATGGTCTTTTTAAAATCACAGGTATGCACCATTTTTGTCACTAGAGTATATATGCATGATTCAAAAAATTATCTATTCTAAAACATATTTTACGTTACCCTAAATCTCAATTCTATAAAGGTGGCTTTGTCACTAATCCACCAAACTGTTAAGTTCCCTACGAGTATTATTTGTATTTGTATCTCAAGCACCACGCAGGGCTTCTTATTTAGTAGGTGCTTGATAAATGCCCTGTGAATGAATAAATTAACATGGTAGCTGAATAGATCTTTCTGTAAGAAAGTGTCTACATTCTATCACTTTTACAAGTATAATCTTCAAATCATACTGTAAGTTTTAATGGTTGTATGTCTTACAGAAACCACAAACTGTAGCTTCTCTTTGTCTTATTATCTTTAAAAAGCTACTGAGACAAAAAAAATTCTGATTTTATAAATTGAACTGAATTCCAAAACGGAAACTGGTATTCGCCAGACCAAAGAGAGCCCAAGCCAAGAGGTGTGCCAGCACGGGAGAGTGAGCACACAGTTACGAGAGGCCCAGATCTCACCTACAAGTCACTTTTCAGTCAACTCAGCTTTAAATTGAACACTCACGTTCTCTGTATTCTATCTCTGCTTCCTTACGCAGTTTCTTTTCTCTGGCAAGAGCTTCAGGGCTTCCCCAGACTTCTAAAGATCTGTGTACACACACACACAATGAATAATTTCAGTGACTTTACTGTAATCACATTTAAATCTAAATGAACTTAAGAGAATCTTACAACAAAGCATAAGGTCCTTTCAGAGAAATGGAAAGAACTTAAGGAACTTTTCTAAATTCAATCTAAACAATAAAAGTCAACAGCAAATTTTCTTATAAATTGTGACACATTTTTGTACATACTAGTAAACTCCCAATTAATTTGCAAAAATAAAAAGTTTTGAAAATGTATCAATTAAAAAATTCTAAATCTCTCTAAAGTAGGTTTTTATTAATCCCAAATCTGGCTTCCACTTTCATTGTATAGTCTTACTTTGCTTCCACATCTGATCTCAAGTATACAGTAAAGGACTCAGTATCTTCATGGGGACTTCGTCGTCTAATTTTTCGAAGTTGGTCTAGATCACTGGAGAAAGAAACATGTTGAATTTATTCAGACAAGGTACATACAGTTTATGTACTAAAAGGATTATTAAGTGCAGGTAAAAGCAACTACATTGATTTTTATCTTAGAAAAATACAGATCTGTATATCTTTTAAAAATCAGTTTAAAGCTGGTATTTTGTACACAAAAAACTTCTTAAGACCATGGGGGAAAAAAAGAATTATTCTTGATGTTCAATACAGACACTGTAATATAATACATGGAGATTCAATTCCCTCATCAGTGCTTGTATTTTATCTTGTGCCCATGCACACCAGTGCTATTTTTAGCGTATATAAAAAAGTGAAAAGTGGAAAAAACATGGATTAGAGGATCATCTCTCTATTTAAGAATGTCAAATTAAGGTCAGGTGTGGTGGTGGCACACGCCTATAATCCTAGGACTCTGGAAGGCTGAAGTAGGAGGATCCCTTGAGCTCAAGAGTTTGAGACCAGCATGAGAAAGAGCGAGACCTCATCTATACAAAAATAGAAAAATTAGCTAGGCAATGTGGTGGGTGCTTGTAGTCCCAGCTACTCAGGAGACTGAGGCAGGAGGATCACTGGAGCCCAAGAGTTTGAGGTTGCTGTGAGTTAGGCACAGCATGGTACTCTACCCAGGGTGACAAAGTGAGACTCTGCCTCAAAAAAAAGAAAATTTTAAATCTACAGTCATATTGTTTATATCTGGATTAGTACTAAATGGTAATATCCATTCAAAGGAATAAGGTTCTAAAGGGGTATATGTCAATTACATACAATTTAATTATTTTCCTTTCTCTTATATTCTAAAAGTTTTATATATTCATCAAGTCACTGTTGAATAATCATCTATTATTTAGTCATAGGTCTTCCTAAGGAATTTTTGTAATAGCAAGGAAAGGACCTATACACAAAAGTCTGGTGATTAGTGTCATTCAGTCCTAGAATTAAACCTAGATTTAAAAAAAAAAAAAAAATCAAAACCATCATATGCTAGTCAAAAAGATGGACCAGGCATTAAAGATATGGTACCCGCTCTGTCAATGACCCACTAAATGAGCTACGTCAGGTCACTAACATCTTGTATGTTTCCTGGCCTATTATGTGGAAACCTGATCTATTTCACTGAGAACTAAATAAAATACTACGTGAAACAGAATATAGTTTTAAATCAATAATTGGCTGCTTTAACAGTTATGAAAGATAAAATTTATTCTAGGAATATTTTTTGATAGTATATCATGAGGGAAAGTAGATCTTTTTTTGTTTTTGTGACAGAATCTCAAGCTGTTGCCCTGGGTAGACTGCTGTGGCATCATAGCTCATAGCAACCTCCAACCTGTTGCCTCAGTTTTTCTATTTTTAGTAGAGACGGGGTCTTGCTTTTGCTCTGGCTGGTCTCCAACTCGTGAGCTTAAGCATTACATCCGCCTCGGCCTCCCTGAGTGCTAGGATTACAGGCATGAGCCACCACGCCCAGCCCATGAGGGAGAGTATAAAAGGATAGATCATCTGATTTCTCCAATTCTCCAACTGGCCCACAAAGGAGAGAGAAAAGTTTAAGTTGTAACAAGATAATTTCAATAACTCTCTATGATGAGAAAAATAATAAGAAAAGATATGAGAAAGAAGTGAAAACAATTTAGAGTCAACAGAAGCTATAGTTGGAGCATGAACATAAATGTAAGCCACTAAATCAGGCGTTCAACTCTGCTGGCCAAAAAAAGACTTTAAAAAGTCAAACATAAAAATAGGCAATCTTACTAACAAATCTGCCACATACCACTGACTTAACAACATGTATAACTCATACAATTCTTGTATGACAGAGAGATTTTGAAGAATTTGACTTTTTTGTAAGTTCAAAAAACTGAGAAAGACAAATTGGTTATATTGGAGCAGAATTTAGTTTAGTAACAATTTTAGCTTTTTCTTTTTTTTTTTTTTTGAGACGGAGCCTCAAGCTATCCCCCCGGGTAGAGTGCCATGGCATCACAGCTCACAGCAACCTCCAACTCCTGGGCTCAAGCGGGTCTCCTGCCTCAGCCTCCCAAGTAGCTGGGACCACAGGCGTCTGCCACAACGCCTGGCCATTTTTTGGTTGCAGCCATCATTGTTGTTTGGCGGGCCTGGGCTGGATTTGAACCCACCACCTTAGGTGTATGTGGCTGGCGCCTTAGCCGCTTGAGCCACAGGCGCCGAGCCAATTTTAGCATTTTTGATTAAATATTTCTCCAGTTTAGGAAGGAGCTAGTAAAAATTTTTCCACATATAAAAGATAGCAGGTAACACATTCTAAGAAATAAATTTTTTTTAGATTATTTAGACAGGGCACACTACTACATTTTTAAAAAATTACTATACCTGGATTTAAGGCAGAACTCATTCATTGCTCTGACTCCAGTAATGAAATTATTCTGAGTGTACTTTGATCCATACTCCCTTTTCTTAAGAACTGCTTTAACTAAATTAAAAACAGGAAAACATAATAAATATGCACACTGAAAGTCACATTTGAAGATGAATACAGGCTGATACTTAAATAAGTTCACTAACAAATTCCATTGAAAAATCATCTCTTTCTGAGGTGGTAAATGACATCAGAAAAAACCAGTATCTCCAAATGCAGAACAGGGCGGAATTCCACCGGTAGCCATCTAGCTTTTGCTTCTACAGTTGACCCGTAACGGAGGCCAAAATGCCAACCCTCTAATGGAACCCCTGTACAGGCACTACGTGTTACTGGGTTGTCTCAATCATACTAATACAATTAAACTGCTTAGGGTTTAAGTAAAAATAAACTGACATTTCAATAAAAGAGTATAGGCTAGTTCAGTATTTTTGAAATTGTGAGGTAAAACCAGGATTTTATAAAAACTGATAATAGAAAGTGATCAAAGAGTATTCATATAATTATGAATAAATACTTTTGTGAAAACCTTTGTTTCAGCAATATATAATGACATACATGCATACTAGGGCACTAAGTAGTATTTCTTATATGGGTTGGGATCAAAAAAGTTTCAAGCTGGGCAGTGCCTATGGCTCAAAGGACTAGGGTGCTGGCCCCACATGCTGGAGGTGGCAGCTTCAAACCCAGCCCTGGCCAAAAACTGCAAAAAAAAAAAAAAAGTTTAAAGCCACCAGACTATTTCATATAATGTAGCAAAATTGAAATAAATTAAGGAATCATTTCATTGGCTAAAACAAATTATTACAAGTTTATTATAAGTTATAGGTAAAATATTGCTTCCTACTATTTTTTTCTTGTCAAGTATCAAAACTGCTTAAAAGAAGGCCAGCAACATCAATAATAAAATACCAATTTGGCATCAATTATGGTGAGTTGGTCTATGTTAATATATTGGTCTAATTAATAGATGGTTGTAAGACTTTTGGTTACAAGATATAAATAACCTAGCAAATATCTGAAGAACAAGAGCAAAATAACAGAATCTCATGTGTTCTATTTCAAACTGCCACCTGTTCACGTCACATTCTATTCTCGTATCTACTGGGGGGTGCCAAAAAAATGTAGACCCAATTTAAGAGATGCTATCTATGTATTACTTTTCCAAGTTGAATTACAGCACTAATGTGTAGTATGACATTTCCTGAAAAGAAAGCAATAATCAAAGGAATGCTAGCATCACCATGTGACAGGCAGGACAAGCAAAGAAAACGGTGGGAACTACAGCTGTCATTCAAGGAGCCGAAGACCATTCTGAAGCAGTATTTAAAATCGAGAACATTATAGAAGTACAATGACAATGGAGGTGTGAGTGTGCAACAGAGCCTCTAACACCCCTAACAACTGCACTCACTGATGTGGGACAAGAAGTCAAGTTATTGGGCTCCCAGTGTCTGCCAGACCATTTTTTTTGAAGTTACTATTACTGGTCAAATGTATCTAGACGTGCTACACATATCCATTTTACCTGCAATTCATACACTTTTGGGGAATGATGGACTTTACTTCCAACAAAATGGCGCTCCACCTGTAAGAGATGTTATCTATGTATCACTAACCAGAGGTGAGAGCTTACTGTGATGAGAATTTGCCAGAGCAATGGATAGGACGAAGAGGTGTAGATGAGTTTCCCCCATGTTCTCCTGATTTAATATACCTCGACTTCTATAATGGGGAACCTTAAAGGATGTGGGATATCACAGAAAACCAGCCACACAGGTAGCACTTCTGGACACTTTGGTTAATGATGCTTAAGCTACAGTTTGCCACAATCAGAAGTGTCGGATGCTGATGGTAACCCCTTGGAGCACCTCTTGTACTTGCTGAAGTCAAACGTGAGTTGTATTCATCCTTTGTTATTGGTATGTATTGAGTATTACAATTTTTCCTTCCCTAAAACGTGTATACATTTTTTTGGCACTCTCGATATTAATTTACAGTTTTCTGTTCTACTTCCAAATTGTAAGAACAAATTAAGCCTAAAATTATCCTTTATTTCTATTTTTTTTTTTTT